ACAGGAGAGGGAGATAAAAGTATCTTATTTTTAAAAATCAAGAACTAACTTCAGTTTCTTAAAATATACAACAGAATGAATAACAACAGTACAAGAAGATATTCACAACTGACCCTGGTTTAGTATCCACAAAGCATCACAAACATTTACAAGTCAGTAACAAAAAGACATATAACCCAATACAATAGTGGGCAGTGGAAGTGGACAAATATCACCCAGAAGAGGAAATGTGCATGGCCAAGCAACTTATGAAAAGCATGCTTAAACTTAACTTGTAATGAGAGAAAAGTAAATTTCAAAATTAAAAAAAAAAAGAAAAAGGAAAGTAAACTTCACACTCACAAAAATAACATTTTAAAAAATCTGAAATTGCAAGTGACAGCAATGGGAAATCACCCCCTGCTTGTGGGAATGTAATTTGTGTGATCATTTTGGACAAGAATGCCTTAAAGATCCCTATGAGAGCACCTCCCTGGTGGCGCAAGGGGTTAAGTCTCAGTATTACGAAGCTATCAGCAGCCACTGTAGCACGTGTTCGATCCTCAGCCAGGGAGCTACCACATGGCGCAGCAGACCTCTCCTGTCTCCCCACTGCTCCCCTCAGCAGTGTATTTCAGTAGATCTGCCTGTTCTGTTCCCCACTCTGTCTCTGATGAATCCTCTCACCCCCGCACCAGTGGCCTACACCCCAGCTCTCATATGCATAAATAAATAAAATCAATCTAAAAAAAAAATATCCCTAAGAGGTTCAGTACTAGTTGTAGTGGTAAGAACTGAACAAACTGGTAAGTTGTGGTGAGAAAATGCAATGTTTGAACTCAGGATTTAGGAGACAGAGTAGTTGTGTGATGGCAAAGCAGAGGTGAGAGGTTGCAGGTGGTTGGTTGATATGGGAGCGTGCTCATTGACAATGTAGTGTGTCAGCCTGGGCAGAGAAACCACAGAATAATTTGAACAGGAAACAGTTAACAAAGAATACTTAATGACAACAGGGGATCGGAGTAATGAGGGACTGGCCAGCAAGAAGTCAAGGGAATTGTAAAAGAATATGGGAATAACAGATATAATATATAATAGCAGACAATAGAAAAATAATATATCCCAGTCACCAACCCTAGAGCTGTGACAATGCCCCCTTCCACCCATGGCCTTCACCAGGCCTTGCTGGAGAAGTTGCTAGGCTGCTGAGTCAGTGGAACTTATGGGACATCCGCCCCTGAAACTTGCTGAAAATGTGGCATTTTAGGGTGTTGGTTTCCCAGCCACAGGGGAGGTGTCTCACCAGAGACACTTTGTAACAGAATGACCCCATGGTGGTATCAGGGAAGCTGCTACCCACTGTGCACTGCTGCAGAAGGTGAGCGCTAGGAAAACTGGGAACTTGGCAGGAGTCTGGTGTGAGCACACAGGAAACAGGAAGTCAAACCCCTTCCTCCTGCAACGTCTCTCCACTACTTGCTACTGATAAAGCTTCATAGCTTGCCAGCTGGCAAAGTAAAACATATTTAAAGGCCCAGGTCCATTTTCAAAGACTAGACATAATGAGCGGGAAGAGGGCAAGGAACTCGCTCTGGCTATGATGCTGCAGTGTTGGTCTTGTGGAAGTTGAAATGACCCAGGTGTTGGCAGAAATTGGGGTAGAATGGAAGGTTCTAATCCATCTTGTTTCTCCAAGTGTGACCTTGGTACATCTGCCTCAGAATCAAGGGATGCGGGAGAGGGGAACTTGAATAATGCAGATTCCTTTGCCACATTGCAGATCTTCTGAACTAGTGTACGGGGTCACAGGGCTCCCAATCTCCCTTCTTTTTTTAAAAAGATTTATTTATTTATGCATACAATAGCTGGGGTACAGGTCAGAGATGCGGGGGGTGAGAAGATTCACCAGAGACAGAGTGGGGAGCAGAACAGGCAGATCTACTGAAATACACTGCTGAGGGGAGCAGCGGGCGAGACAGGGGAGGTCTGCTGTGCCATATGGGTTTCTCCCTGGCCAGCCAGGGATCGAACTTGTGCTGCAGAGGCTGCAGATTACTTCATAGTGCGGTGCTTAACCCCTTGCACCACCAGGGAGGACCCCCAAATCTCCTTTTTAACAAGTGACCCAGTGGATGTGAAAATTTGAAAAATCAATTATGAGTATTTCCAAACCCATAGAAATAAAAGAAAACAGTGTAATAAATACTATTGTATGCACCGTTCAATTTGAATAAAATTAAGATTTACATTATTTCCTGCACATTTTTTAGTTTTAATGGAATGATACCTATGTTGGTGCAAGTTCCACTCATGGCTTTCTCTTGCCTCCTTCCCTCATAAGATGTGTAGTTTGTAAATACTACACCATTAAAGAGGTGCTTTTGGAAAATCACCTCAACTGCTGGGCCAAGGAGTTCATGAAGATGAGCAGGTGGAGGTGAGAAAAGCAGTGACAGCCAGTGGATGTGGCTACCAGGGAGCTGGAGTTGGGCGAGACCTTTGCCCATTTTACTCCTGCACATGTGTCCCTGTGACCTCCAGGCTTTCAGCCTCCTCTCTCCACCCCTCCCAGTTCATCAGCTCCTCTCTAGCTTCACTTGCTTCCCTACCCAGCCTGATTTTTGTCACCCATATGCTTGCTACTATCCCAGAATTCATTGCTTTCTTGACATTTGACCATACCAACCCTAACGTCCAATCTTTACACTACTAAAACTGTTTCTTCCATCTTGCAGAGGTGGCCTTGCCTTTCTGATTTTACTTTATTATGTACAATACATTGCAACAGCCAGTGTCCAGAATGACGCAAATCTTCATCCAGGTGACCTCAGGGGACTCAAGCCTATTTTGGACTAGGCTGGCTGGGTTCCTGAAATCACTCAGGCTTTCTTCTTCGTCAGAAAATGTACATGATGCCTCCACATTACTGCCAGATCTGTTTGAAGAGTACAATTTTGATGTGCAATTGTGAAAACAGTCCAAATGACATATGTGTTTAAGAAGAGAAGATTTGGGAATTTTATTTATCAACACTGGATTTCTTTCTTTTTATTACATAGATTTGACTGTGGGTCAAAAGTCAATGAAAACTTTTGGTTGATTATACTTATTTCGTATAAGTATAATTGCATGAAGCCAAATATTTGGCAGTGAAATCTTTGTTACAGAACTTTTGATAGATGAAATGACATGATTGAATCTGGAAATGATGTTGAGTGAAACAGTCAGACAAAAAGAAGGGACCATAGTATACACTTCCATTTCTTTCATTCTAGAAAAAGCAAACTAATCTAGAGGACTGAATGCAGATTGATGGTTGTCTGGGATTTGGGGGGATGGGAGGGGAGAATGGGTAGGAAGAATGCAAGGACACTTTTGGGGGAGCAGAAAAGTTTAATTTGGACTGAGTATGTGTGGTTGTATCACAGGTGTATACATGTGCCAAAATTTATTAAATCATAAATATGTGCATTTTATAATGTCAATTATATTTCAATCAAAATATAAAAAATCATTAACAAGGAAAAAATTTTGTTGTAAGCCATTAAAACAAACAAAAATCCCTATCATAATCAGGTAGTGTCTGTACCCAGGACTCCGTATGAATTTACTCATTCATTTAGTTCGTGTTTTTAGAAAACATCTACTGTGTACTAGGCTCTCTGCCAGGAGCAGAGTTAAAGACACATAAGGAGGTTAGGTTCTGGTGGAGGAGGCAGAGCAACAAGTAATAATAGTAAAGTGTGATAGGTGTTATGCCAGAAGGGGAAGATTTGAAGACATTCAGTCAGATTATCTAAGATTATTTGGTCGTAGATGGCCCGAAGCTGTGTTGAGAAGGATTCTGATGCTTAGCAGGATCCCATGCAGGAGGGGCAGTGAGGGTGAGTGCCAACCATTTGCCAGTGTAAGGCTGGACTGTGAAAACTGGCTTCTCATACATTTCCCAATAGCATGACAATTTCAACTGGTTCTGAAAGTGCTTGAGAATAGTAAAGCCCTCTTGTTGCACCAGTTATTTTTTTCAGAGCAGCATTTGTGAATGTAAAGGGTTTCTTGTTGAGCAACAACCTTCCAGGCTGGAGTGCAGACAGAGGACAAGTGCTCTTTTGTTCTCAAAAGTTGTTTTCAAGTGTTTTTTACCTGCTTTTGTGTCTGAGTCTCCACTAAGGGGACTGCAGCTGGATTGTGGAGTAGAACCAGGTCCAGAAAAAGAATTGCTAAAGAATGCACGTAAACAGGATGTCAGATGTTATCCTTAGCCTCTTTCCCCAAATATAGTTTTTTGGCTGCAAAGTAAAATGCCATTCTCCCAGCTTCTGCTTATATGCAGTGGTGACCGACAGCAGGCACAATCTTCATTCGCTTGGCACCTTGTCACCATGCAACACAACGTGTTTTGCAAGGAATGATTGTGACAGGCCATCTCTGTGAGATAGGATGAGGACACCGGGTCATTTCTTGGAAGAATTTTCTCGGCCTGCCTCCTTGGAGCCCGTGGTGCCAGCACAGCTCTTCACAAGGCTCAGAGCTGTCTGACCTAAGAGCCAGTTGGCATCTTCCTCCTGACAGGAGCCAGATTTCACTGGGGTTAGACTATTTATTGACAGCATTTCCCCACACTGTTCCCCCCCCGCCCCCAGCAGCTCAGTTCCAAGGTCCCCTCATAACCACTCACCTCTGTTTTCCAAAAGCATTGGCTTCTTGCAGCTGTTGGTTTTGTGTGTGTGTGTTTCTTTTTCTTTTTTAAATCCTGATGAGTTTATCTTGCAGATTTTCAAGGAGAAAACCAGTGATATCCAAGACTTTTCCATTCAGCTTGTGTTGACATGTTTGAGTGATCCCTGGGGTTTTCAAATCCCGTAATTCAAGTGGATTCCTTCCAGTGTGGTCGAAGAAGAGTTGTTGTGAAGCTTTGCTCTGCAAGCACCAGAAGAGAACTCATAAAAAGGAAGCCAACAGCAGATGCAATCGCGGATGTGGCTTAGCCCTTGCAGCTGCCCCAGAGAAGTGTTCGGAGCTCACAATCCCCAGACATGAATCCAGAAGAGCGAATCGTAACATGGCTTATATCCTTGGGAGTTTTAGATTCCCCCAAAAAGACCATCTGTGATCCGGAGGAGTTCTTGAAGTCCTCATTGAAAAATGGGGTAGTGCTGTGCAAACTGATCAACAGACTCAGGCCTGGCTCGGTAGAAAAGGTAAGGGGTTCTGGCGGTGTCCCGGGGATGGCTGCCACCCAGAGCAGCAGCAATGGGACTCCTGGGGCCGCCTGTTGGCCAGGTCCTGTGACTCCTCTGCTGTTGTCTCTTTCTAAGAGCGAGAGCTTCTTTCTTACTGTCCTTGTCATTTGAAATAGTCAGAAAATGAAATGGCCTTTAGTCATCGGCCCTCAAGTATTAGGACAGTAAAGACCTGTCACACTGCTGGTGCCAGGGGACAAGGAAAACACGCATATCCCTAGCTTGCTCTGACATACACACATGTCACCCTCTCTGTGTCTTGAGGGCATGATTTGGACCTGGGCTACATACGAGTCTGTGGACTAGTGTGATGATTTGTAACAGATATTGATGGTGTCTATGGAGAGTTTACCTAAAATCAATGTAGATATTTTCCCCCAAGAAATAAAATATTCATTGAAAGTGAGGCTATTTAGCAACCAGGAAAAAAGAATGCAAAATATCACACAAGGTTTGTTAAAGTAATAGAAACCAAATATATCATTGGACTTCAATGTGTTCAAAGTGAAACTAAGCTTGCTCTCGTTTAAAAATCCAAGATTTTTGTTGGGGCTCTGTGGATAATTTCTAAAGTGGGCACGTAAAGTAAGTGCAAAGGTAGAATCCTACAATTATTTCCTTAAGATCAGCAGGGAATGTGAAAGTGAAGGTCTTTTGCCTTCTTGAACCTGTTTGCATTTTAACTGAACAATCGACTTACCGTTTCTTAAACTTGAAAAACAGTGGTCAGAAGGTGGTTAGATCTCAAGAACTGATGAAATAGAGAGAACAGCAAAGGGGAAAATAGAACTTTAATACATTTTCATGAGGAGGAGGGAGCAAGATACTAACTTGAAAGCAAGAATCAAACTCAACAAAATGGCCTGCGTCGCTTGAATTCACTAGCACCCCACTTTGACAAAAGGCATGAGAACAAGCTTGTAGGTAGAGACGGTGTGGGACTAAAGGTTTGCTGGCATTTGAAATACACACCGACCGTTTAGATTTTTGCCTCACTTCCTCCAGCGGTTATTTGTCTTCCTGAGGTGACAGCAATGTGGCTCCGTGCTTGAAAGCCTAGTGTATCTGGTCGGTGACTGGGGAGTGGGGTCGTCTTGCCCTGGGATGACACTCTCCAAGTGACATTGACCATGTTTCTCTAGTTCTGCCTGGAGCCCCAGACTGAAGCCGAGTGCACCCACAACATCCAAGACTTTCTGAAAGGCTGCGCCGCCCTGCAAGTAGAGGTAAGCTGGCCCTGGCTGCCTTCCTGGGCGTCCTCACTTTTCACTCTGCCAGTGAAGATGGCATGCGGTAAAACACATGGTTCATTTTCACTGTTAAACAGAGCTCGAGTCTTACGGAAACCACGGTGGAGGGGGTTGGCCCCAGTGGTGACTTGCTAGTTTGTCTTTTCCAGAAATTAGGTCCAAAACACTGCCAAATCAAAATGTAAAAGCTGATAGCCCTGAAAGAGGCTTTCCTGCTGAGGGCAAACGAGAGTGGGGCTGCTTGCTGCAGCCAAAGGGCACGTCATCTCTGAGTTGGGATGAGAGAGAAATCTATTGTCTCGTTTTCCCATTAACATTCTAGAACAGGGGCCTCGAAAAGCTGAGGGAGCATTGCCCTGAGGCTGAGACTTTACATTACACACACAGTTTCTACAGTCCATGATTTTATATTATATGAATCCTTACAGTTCCTATAGGGGTGTTACCAAGAGGAAGGTGATACTTTTACCTGTGTGTCAAGTTACTTGATGTCTGTGGGCCTCAGTGTTTTTATCTGTAAAATGGACACAATACTAGGTAGCTTGTGGTGTTGTAGGGTTCAAATGAGATACCGCATAATAATTTAGCACTAAGAGCCCTACCCTCAAAAGTTCTATGAGATAATATATGGAGAAAGCTCAGTGTAGGCCCAGGGACATGACAGATATAGATGAGTATGTGTAGCATATTTTCACAGGAAAGTATTAGTTGTGGTTTGTGTATGGATTCTATTGCTAGGGTTCAAACCTTAGTACTCACTCATTGGTGGCTTTGTGACCTTTGTGATCATGTTATTATACTTAACTGCACCTCTAAGCCTCAGTCTCCCCACCTGTAAAATGGGAATAACGCAGCACCTGTCTCTTAGGATTGGTGTGAGATCTCGGTAAATTCATAATCGTGCGAGAGTGTCAGGCACATACTGAGTGCTCTCCAAGTGTCAGTCTTAGTAGTAATAGAAGCAGCTTTGCCTCAGATAAACTTTGCTTGCTTTGGAATTTTCCCTAAAGTTAGGGGCTATGCTTGTCTCAGAGCATTTCATTCCAGGTTTCCCTGCTGCCTAATTTTAGCTGTGTGTGTGTGTATGTGTGTGTGTGTGTGTGTGTGTGTGTGTGTTTGTGTGTGTGGTGTGTATGTGATGCGTGTGTGTGGTGTGTATGCGATGCGTGTGTGTGTGTATGTGATGCATGGATGCATTGGTATGTATGGCTTTTAGGTGGGTGTGACTTGAAACCACTCTATCCCTTATAGAATATCTGCCATGGAACAGATCATTTTTTTTTAAAGATTTATTCATTTGTTCATACAAGAGCTGGGGTACAGGCCAGAGATGCAGGGGGTGAAAGGATTCACCAGAGACAGAGCGGGGAACAGAACAGGCAGATTGACCGAAGTACACTGGCGAGGGGAGCAGCGGGCGAGACAAGAGAGGTCTGCTGAGCCATGTGGGTTTCTCCCTGGCCGGGGATGGAACTCATGCTGCAGTGGCAGCTGATAGCTTTATAACACTGTGCTTAACCCCTTGTACCACCAGGGAGACCTTCTGTTTTTATTTTTACTCGTCAAATAAAAAGATGGTATGGTTGTCATGATTTTTATACTCTGAAGCAGATGGAAGGTATACTGAGCTGCTGTGCAGTTCTAAGAAAACCAGATAATAGAGACCTCCTGGCTCTGGTATTGTTGGGGACTGAGTCGTTGCGCAAAAGTGGATTTTTCTGCTCTTGAAAGTTTATTTCTTTAAGCATCAATGTGGAAAATATCGGTATCTACTTTGGATAGAGATCTTCTAAAAATACGTATCATACATTTATAGCTTCCTAAATGAAAGGAACTGGGCATGTTTTTCTTTTTGTAATTCTAGCTGGCCTGGACAGCATATGAATATGTAATGAGGCAATATCTGGTACATACCTTCTCTTGTTTGACAGACTTAGGTCAGAGTCTTGGCTAGGTCAGTTACCCACTGCATGACTCTGGGAAAAATTCCCTGGCCTCTGTGTGCTCCGGTTTCCTCATCTGTGTAATGGAGACATTAAGAATATCTACTGCGCAGAACTGTTTTAGGGCTCCAATGAGATAATGCCTCTAGGGTACTTAATATACCATTGTCCATAAGACACTTGTAATAAATGCTCACTGTCAGTGTCAAAACTAGGTGGTGTTGCATGCACACTGAGGAGCTTCCGAAGATAAATCTGATCAAATCAATACATAAGGAATGAGAGTGAGTGATGATCTGGGGAGCACCCAGCAGCCAAGGGTACAGACCATCCAGTCTCAACCTCCCCGGTAGCCAGGAGACAGACCGAGACACAAATATTAGTAATATCACTTTAGATAGAGTGTGCTAGGCACAATCCCTGCTGTAAGACATGCTTGACAGATTCTGGTTGATGCTGTGAAAACATAAATGTACATAAAGTGATAAGAACCTGGCTTGCCTAGTTTCCAGAACATGCTAATATTTATCTAAAGAAAGAGAGTCCAGTGTCAGGAGCCCAGACGCAGAGCGGCTGCATCCAACATGGAGGTGCAGGGCTTGACCAGAGAAGAGACCTGGGAAGTGAAGTTTCCTGGAGAGTAGAGTGGGGATTGCCGCTGCTGAGCTGGTTCTGGAAGGCAAGGCACTCTTGAACCCCTACACTGTGAGCCGGAAGCATCAGGCAAGCCAAGTGTGGCCAAGAGCTCAGGGTAGGCAGGAGCATGGCTGTAGCGCCTGCACCGCAGTTCTGACTGTGGCCACCCACCAGACACGCAGAGCCCTGGTGTTCTTCCCTTCCTCCGTGTGGAGGTCATCAGTGACCATGAGTGTGGGCTCTTCTGGAATGGATCTGACCCCTTATTGGTGCCGGAGCTCCAGGGCCGCTGTGATGGGGTGGCTTTCCTCAGATGCTGCAGTCACTGCATATCCTCTTGCCATGACCTGCTGCCCCGTGTCACCCTCAAGGGGGGATAGGCTGTGTGCCCCAGTCTGGTAGACTAGTATCTGGAGGAGACAAGTATTCATGTTGTGACTCCCCAGAGCCCTCAGTGATCCAAACCCCCCAACCCTCTGAAAGAGAGCCTCCCCACTACCCTGGTGAAAACACCCAAAGTCAGTAATACCAGACCCCATGGAAAAGCAGGGTGTGGCATCAGACAGCGGTTTTTTGGCGGGGGTGTGGAGGGGTGGGGAGAGATACTGCCAGCTCAAGACTGCTCTGTGGGACAGCATCTTCTCCAGCAATCAGGACCACTTGAGCCCCAGTCTGAGCACTTAGACCAGGCCAAAACCATCCTCGAGTTTGGGGATCTGGGCTTCATTGTCTGTGACCTCCAGTTCTCCAAGCTCATCTACCTCAATGCGTTCTGGTGCAACTACATCAATGGCTAGAGGCACATAAGGGTGTCTTCATAGACGTGCTCCAGCAGACTGTGGGGCACAGAGCCATCAAGCTGCTGGTGAACGTGGCTGAGGAGAACTGAGTTGGGCCGACAGAAACTTCTGGGGTACCTGATGCTGCAAGCATTGCCCTGACGCCACTCCCCTCCCACCCCACACCCCACAGTGTCTCTGGGGACTGTTCCCACCACCCACCTCTGGAGCTTACATATTGTTTCCCGGTTTGTTCTCTACCCTTCCAACCAACACACTTCTGCCCTTTATTTTTTTTAAAGATTTATTTATTTATGCATACAAGAGCTGGGGTACAGGCCAGAAATGCGGGGGATGAGAGGATACACCAGAGACAGAGTGGGGAACAGAACAGGCAGATTGACCAAAGTACACTGCTGAGGGGAGCAGTGGGTGAGACAGGAGAGGTCTGCTGCGCCATGTGGGTTGCTCCCTGGCTGGCTGGTGATTGAACTTGTGCCGCAGAGGCTGTGGATTGCTTCATAGTGTGGTGCCCAACCCCTTGCACCACTAGGGAGGCCCTCCTGCCCTTCATTTCTTATTTTTTTTAACCTTTTAAAAATGTATTTATTTATTTATACAAGAATGGGGTACAGGCCAGATGTGCAGGAGGTGAGAGGACTCACCAGAGACAGAGCGGGGAACAGAACAGGCAGACTGACTGAAATACACTGCTGAGGGGAGCAGCAGGCACGACAGGAGAGGTCTGCTGCACCATGTGGGACCCTCACCGGCCGGCCGGGATCAAACCTGCACTGCAGAGGCTGTGGACAGCTTCACAGCAAGGCGCTCAACTGCCTGCACCACCAGGGGAGGCCCTGCCCTTTATTTTTTAAAGGAAAATGGAAGTGGTGTTCCCCACCCTCACTGTACCATGTGTCTGGGTTCCCCTTATTTCCGTTTTCCACTGACACCCAATGTGTGCTCCACAGCCACCTCATCCCTGAGCTAGAAGACAAATGGAATGGGAGAAACAAAAACAAAAAGGAAGAAAGAAAGAGAGCAGCTTAAACTGAGCAGTTTGGAGATGTAGACAAATGGAGCCAGAGGTGTGGCAGCATGTCCCCAGTGTGCCTGCTGGCTGTGAGGCATGGTGACCACAGTAAAGAGCCACTCCCTTCTGACCCTCAAGGTGGTCACTTGGCCTCTCCAAGTAACCTCGAACTTGGTGTTTCTCATATGGCCATAGTGTCTTAGGGTCTCTCGAAGATCACACAGCTGGGACTAGTCACAGCAGTCTGCTGAGATGCCTTGGAAACACCACCCCAACTTCGATAGTATCTTTAGAAACACACAATATTTAAACAATTTTAAAGATTTATTTATTTATTTATACAAGCACTGGGCACAGTCAGAAGCACGGGAAGGTGAGAGAATTCACCAGAGCCAGAGCGGGGAGCAGAGCAGGCAGAAGGACCGAAGTACACTGCTGAGGGGAGCAGCGGGCGGCAGGGGAGGTCTGCGCGCCATGTGGGACCCTCGCTGGAGGCCAGGAAACGAACCGGTGCTGCAGAGACTGCGGGCAGCTTCGCAACCCAGCGCTCAACCGCTGTGCCACCGGGGAGGCCCTAAACAATTT